GCTGGCTCAGGAATTCTGGGAGTTGAAGTCCACCAGTCATAATAGAGCCAAGGTTGCCTACCCCTGGTTTAGTGTCACCTGCCAATTTGACGACTTCCCCTTCTAATTCCCTCATCTAAGTCATTTATGACAATGTCGAAGAGGCCTGGGCCTAAAATGGAACTTTGTGGTAAAGTCCTGGAGATTGTTTATCTTTCTTTTCCCGTTGTCTGTCGACGCAAAAACTTTTGTGATTTTTTGGGGGGATTGTTGCTGTCTGTTGTTTTGTTAAAAATTAAGGCAAACAAAATGGACTTCTCCCTTGCAGGCCTTTCTGGTTTACACGGCGGCCATTTATGCCAATATGGGCAACTACAAGTCCTTTGGTGACACCAAATTTGTTCCCAGCCTTCCCAAGGTGAGCGTGGAATGAAGACTGTGGGGTGGGGTCAGCGTTTGAACTTCTGCCTTGCAGCCAATTGGAAAGCTCCTTGGCCCTCATTGGCTGAGAGGTTGATGGAGGAGGAGGTGGAGTCCTGGCAGTGGCTCCACCCCTCTTGGGCCTTCAGCGTTTTTTTTTTCATTGTCGTTTTCATTCAGCTCCGTTTTGATTTCTTCATTTTCATTTTTTTTTTAAATTTTCATTTTGTTTCTGTTTTGATTTTTTTTTCTTCCCTTTTTCTTTTTTCGCGCTTCCTTTGATTTTTGTTATTTTTTTTTTTTAAAAAATTCTCACTTTCAGTTTGGTTTTCTTTTTAGCTTTCGTTTTCTTGTCGTTTTTATTTTCTTCCGTTCTTCCTTTTCTCCTCTTTATTTGTATTTTATTTCTTTTTTTTTTCCTCCTCCCCGTTGTTAGTATTGAGTTCTTTTGTTTTCATTTGTGTTTTCTTGCAGTTTCGGTTTGGTTTTCTTTTTTCTTTCGTTTTTCCCTCTTCGTTTTTATTATTTTTTTCTTTTTGCTTCGATTTATATTTTGTTCCTTTTTTTTCCCCCCCTTAGGAAAAACTGAAGCAGCTGGTGTGGGCGAGCCAGGCGTTTTTGCAAAACCCGGAAGAGATGGAAGCTTTGTGGGAGACCTGCGGGAAATTGATGTACTCCCTGGAGCCCCTCCAGAGGCATTTGGGGCTGAGTGGCGAGGTATTTATTGCCCTCGTGCCCATCTCAGCCCCATTTCTGGGGGGGGGGGAATCGGCTGTTTGGGCTTTGGGACGGGGCTCTGACATCCACGCCTAGAACTATTGAGGGACTTCTCCCCTTTCTTTCCTTGTTTTTAGGGAGTTTCCACCTACTTCTCTGCAAATTGCTCCATGGAAGATGCGAAGCTGGCTCAGAAATTCCTGGATTCTCAGGTGCTGCTGGAATTCTCTCGTGGTCCTCGACTTACAGCAGTTCATTTACTGACCGTTCACCGTTACAATGGCAGTGAAAAAAGGCGACGTATGACCGTTTTTCCCATCTATGGCCATGGCAGCAGAATCCCCGCGTTCATGTGATATATATTCGGATGCTGGACCGCTGACTCATGTTTATGATGGTGGCAGTGTCCCTGTGTGTGTGTGTGTGTGTGTGTGTGTGTGTGAGGCGATCCCCTTTTTACGACCTTCCGACAAGCAAAGTCAAAGGGGAAGCCAGATTCACTTAACGGCGGTGTGACTAATTGAACAGCTGCAGTGATTCACTTAACAACAGTGGCAAGAAATGTCGTAAAATGGGGCAAAACTCACTTAACCGATGTCTCACTTAGCAGC